AAAAAAAAAAAAAAAAAAAAAGGCGCTAAAGATCCAGGGAAAGAGAAGAAATACAGGCATGAAGCCAAAAGTTCCGTCTCACTGCTGCTATTTCACGGTTTTCTTGACCAATGTTCAGAAATGGTCCTCCAAATCTCAGGGCCGAAGTACAGTAGACTAGTCCATCAGCAATGTAACATAAAACCTATAGAATAATTTACATTGGCTTTAGTTCAACTGGCGTCCAAAACTTCTGCATATGTCTTTTCGTTTGTTCTTTTCAATTTTGAGGCTGTCATGTAGTAGCAATTTGAGCTGCACATTCTGTCACCATCTACTTCGAGAATTCATGCCAAGTATTTGAACAAGTTGGGGTTGTCTTTATCTCTTTCCAGATAGTCGCGGGTGATCAAATCCTCAATCCGCTTCTTGATTGCTTTAACATCAGGCTATAAAACAGGCATAGTTGCGATCAATCAATATAGAACTCAATTACGTTATAACAAAATCGATACTATCAAAAAGATAAAAACAAGGGAGGGTTAGCCTAGTTACGAAAAATAAACAATTATCTTACTAACTCTAGGAGTTTGAAGTTGTTTTCCAATTACCCAATAAGGAAAGTAATGAAAACACCATAAGCCAAAAGTAAGGGAAATTGTGAAAGAAAACTGATATTCTCGTAATCAGGCTGAACCTCAACAATGCTATTTATTCTTATCCCAAAATAGAATTGGAAATAACATAACATGCATAGTAAGGTTTACCTTAAACATTCGGTTTAATTGATCAACGCACTCAGCCACCAACTGCTGATACCCCAAGACCTTTCTACTCTTCATTATACGCACAATCGAGGCATCGATGGCATATCGTCTGTCCTTGTCAACGTCCTCAATCACCTTCTTCTTCTCATCCACAGGAGGGAGAGGGATCTTAATTTTCCAAATAAAATTAAATATTGTTAAATATATTTATATAATATCAATCAATCAATCAACAAGCCATTAAAAACTTAGTCGGCTATATGAATCACCTGTCACCATCGTGCTTGATCAAAGCACATATCCTCATTCAAATTTAAATATTTTAAATCATTTTTTGTTGTCTCCTTCCAAGTTTTCTTAGGTCTACCCCTCCCTCTTGTAATTGCGTTCTTAATTTTAATGTTTCTACTAAATATATATAATTATAATAAACACCCAAATAGACAAGAAAATAGGGGGAAAATAAATACCCTAATCCTCCTCATTTTGTCTGTGAACTTCGAATTGAATTCAAAAACGTCACTTGGGGAAATTGTTTTGGTGTTGGGCTCCTTGTTCAGAATCTTGTACCGGGCACAAGAAAGCGAATGAAGCACCCTTACAATATCATCATCAGCCAGGTTCAACTGACTCATAATTTCCTGGTAACTCAATCTAGCGGAGGCATTGAACAACATCAAGGCAGCAGCCTAAAAATTTGAAATAGTAAAAATTAATAAGAGAAAACAATCATATACAATATCAAGACATTATCATATCATGCCAAATGGACCTGAGCAGTTGTGACAGTAAGCTCTATAGGCTTGGCGTCGAATTTCCCAATAATGTTGCATGTCCCCAATGAATATATGAATGTGAGTCTCCTGTGCTTTGTTTTTGTCTGGTAGAACTCCCTGAACACTTCAACGCACTTCACCTGGAAGAGGAGTTTTAAAGAAGCGAATGAAAAGAAATGGAAAAGGATAATTTCTTATGGCAAGACAGAAATTATGCAGGTCAGCAATTACCATCTCAACTGGAAGGTTAAGATCGAAAGTCTTGTAACTCGGCCAAAAACCGGTTGTGAGGACGGTCACAGACAAGTCAACCCCTGGACTGACATGTGGGTTATTTCCAAGGTACTCCTCAAAGCTGGCTTGATTTTCCTTAGCAAGTGTTAGATCTGTGATCTATATAGTTGAGAAAGGCGAAAGAGGTCAAGTAATAAAAATACAGGATTGCTGATAGAAAATTAGTAATGATGATATTGGAGCTGACCATTCCCTCCATCTTGGATGTAAATTGACCACCACATTGCTGCTTTAACTTGGTCAAAATACTTCTTTCATGCTCATCATTGGCGCTTTTATCGAATAATAAGCGCCGAGCAAGCTTTTTCCTATCAACAATGCAGTGAAAAGAATCTAAATATAATGTATCTTTATAAATCATGACAACCAGGTACTATTACGAGAGTCACCTGTAGAATTCAGCAAACAAGTCTTTATCACTGATGTAGGCAAGCAATTTTACCACCTAAAGAATATTTAGAAGCTCAATTACAGCTATCAAAAAATGTAATCAGAATAAACACTAAACTGAAAAAATTAAACATAACATTCTGAGCACACCTTCTCCAGTGTTTCCTCGATGGCTTCATCGCTCAATCTCTCACTCCCACCTTTTTTGAGAATGTTATCACAAAATGTGGCAAGAAGATCAGCACTAGAACTGCCGGCGACACCCTTGTTGCAGAAGACTTCAAACGCCTCTTTAAGAGCCTAAAATTTGACAAAAAATGTCATTTTAATGATGCAGTTCACAAAAATAAAAATAAACAGGAAGCTCTTTTAACAATTTTAACCTTGTGGAACAGCGTGTGGTTCTGAAAACAGTCATTCACATATGCCATGAATTTGTTGTGAAGCTCAATTACTTTTCTGACAAAAACCTGGATTCCAAAAGTCACTTTAGTGCCTGGTGACATTTTGAAGGACAAAACAAAAATTCAGAAAAACATTACCTGTTCCTGTAACCCATCAACATCTTTCTTATCTGTCTGTAAATGGAAAGCCACCAAATATAAATGTAAACCAATATTTGACTACATGATAGAAAATGTTAATTACAAGAAATAACAAAATTTGACACATCTTTTCTAGAACATTGTAACATAAGCAAAGTTGCTAAAATGGGTGTACAATGGACTCATTATTGTTAGGTCAACATATTTTAATATGCAAAAATCAAAATGAAATATGTGTGCATATACATTGCATAACAAAAACGCATCATAGAAACTGTTTCAATTGTAGGCACACAATAACTATAGATCAGACATCAATTACTAAGAGCGTGAGACAAACAGCAGTTTACAGATATTTCCCATTTGATGCATTATATTCCACAATGGACTAAATAAAACATTATGTCAGTACCTCCAGAAGATCAATTTAGTAACTTTAAAGTTAAAGATAAATGAACCTACCTTTTTGTTGCTTGCTGCATCTTCTGCTTGTTTAACAAGTTCTGTACCTTCAGCAGTAACATGCTGCCATTAGAAAACCTCATTTAGTACAGATTTGGCCACTCGGCTAAAATGACTCAGGACCAGAACCTACTTTATACATGGCAAGACAAAAATAACTACAAACCTGCTTAAACACACTGGCCACGGGCTCCAGACCTCGAGGTACTTTGGAAAAGAGTCTATACATCCTCGATAAATCCTCTACCTAATCGACAGGGTCAGGGATTTAGCATCAAAATGATCTTAATCAAAGGAACGGTTTAATATAGAAAGAAAAACTTTTAGTATATGCACACCTTGTCGTCCCTAAGTAATGCATGACAACCTGAGTGCTCCTTCTCGAGCAATTGGGAGGCATACACAGACAACAGCTCATGTTGTACTTTCTACAAATTAAAATAAAGAACTACTAGTTGAACCCAATAACAATACAAGAATCACATTTTATAGAATCTTACAAAGTTAGATTATTAGCAATGTGAAAAGCACATCCCAACAGTTGGAATGCTAGCATTTTATAACAGCTGGTTATTCAATAACAAGAGCAGACCTCAAGCAACTTTGTCTCACTACTTGAATGAAGATAATGTGAAACCCTCTCCTTTTCTCTCTTCAGACACTCCTCAGCCTGCATTTAAAAAAAAAAAAAAAAA